AACTACACCCCACAAATCCCCCAGCACAGCGTGGGGGGTGGGGGAATCCGGGGATTGAAAGTCAACACATCTTAAAGCTGCCAAGGCTGAGAAACACTGGCCTACTGCAAAATCCCAAATGGTTCCCTTCAAGCTTGAGCCTGGGAGCAATGAGTGCATCTCCCTGTGCTTCCAAAATGCACAGTGTTTTTCACACTCAAGTCTGTGTACAGTTTGATTTTGGAAACCTCCTTAATGCAGTTGTTTGCTAACCTGGTGAATGTGGCTGCTTCTGGACTCAGCAATATCCAAGCTGTAGAAGCCTTGTTTTTCTTATAGAACAATGGTGCCCTCCAGCTGTTTCAGATTGCAGCTGTCATGGCTTGAAATGACTATCAGAGCTGACAAGAGTTGGTTCAAAACCTAGAGGGCACCAGCTTGCATATCCTTGCAGAAGGATCAGCACTCAGTCCTTAGCACCTCTCTGTAGGTTTGGCAAATATTCCTGGAGGAAATATGGGTAATAATTTGGCCAATATACTGGTGTAGGTTTTCATGGCTGGTATCTGTTGGGCAGGCTGGGTCTTCAGGATTTAGTGACCGTGGTCTAAACAACAGATTTCCTGGTGTTTTGCCGGTAACCGTGGCTGGCATCTTTTAGAGGCAAGGTGGTCACTAAACCCTGAATCCCAACCCTGCCCAATTTGGCAAATATTCCTGAAGGGAATATGGGAGAGCCACTGCTAACGGGAGTAAGCCTTATGGAGGTTATTTTAAAACGGTGCCTCTAAAAGTTCTTATCTCAAATCAGCAGTTGGTCAAGGGTTCACGTGATCAACTTGTTCAAGAGAGATCGTTCACGTGTTCGGGAGGTCAGAGGTTAAAGATTTGCCCAGGCTTTGGTGGGGGGGAAGGGTCAAAGCTGATGGGCTGAATGGGGACTCGGGCTTGGTGAAGCAGAGCTGAACAAGACATGTTGTAAGACGCTTCGCTTGCTTCTCTTCCTGCTCTGCCTCATCTCCTCTTCCCTCTGCAGGAAAGCTTCTGTGGGACATCTGTTATCGTGCCAGAAGTTGAAGGTGCCCTTTATTTAAAGGAAGATGGAAAGAAGTCCTGGAAGAGGCGCTACTTTCTTCTACGAGCTTCAGGCATTTATTATGTCCCCAAAGGGAAGACCAAGGTCAGGCAAGTCAAAGAAATCCTTTGAAGCATTACAGCAGTTTGTAAAGGGGAGGCAAAGAAGTCCCCAGTTGACCCTTGAGGAACAGCATCTGGTGCCCCTGATTGCTGCTGTTTGGGCAAATATGGGGAGTGGGTGGCGGAATTCCTTGGATGCTCATTCCCCCATAGCAGTGTTGTCCAAACTTGGCCACTTTAAGATGAGCGGACTTCAACTCCCAGAATTCCCCCCCCCCCCCCGCCCGGCCGGGGGGTGTTTGGGGGTGGAGGCCCCCCCCCCTTAAATATCACAATTTGGGAAAACACCCTCCTTGGGGGGAGGCGGCCCC